TCGCCTTCCAGCAAGCTCGGGGACTACATCGGTACGATGCACCTGCCGGTGCATCTCGTATCGCCTGTACGACGATTGGGTTCTCAACTTAACCGAGAATTCTTTTTTAGACCCTGGCACCACGTGCCTACGTCACCTACTACAAGGCTCGGGGACTAAGTGGGCACACTTCACCTTGCGGTGAATGTGTTTGTTTTTCGACCCCTACGTCTCTGATGATCAAAGACGCACTTACATTTCTTTTCAGAAATACAAGTGGGCACACTTTCCAAGACAGAAATCTTTTTCTTTTTTCTTAAGAGCACCATACATTCTTCAGACAAACTACTTCTCCGGTGGCAACGGTGGTCAGAGATGTCAAGAACTCAAGCCTCACTGTTCGGAGAAGGTTAAAATTACGTGTTGCAGCATAATACATGGTGCTCGGGGACTAGCTGTGGGGGTATTAACCCCTATACCCTTACGGCTAGGCTTGGGCCGGCCCAGATCAGAGGGTCCGGTCCACCTAAAGACGACGCGCGGCCCGGCCAACCTGTTCGGAGTCCCGCACAAGGAGTCAAGACGGATTTGGCGATCAAGCAAGATCCTGGTCGGTTAGAATAGGAATCCTTATCCGGCTACCTATAGCAATTGTAACTGGCTAGGATTAGTTTCCAGATCTGTAACCCTGCCCCCGGACTATATAAGGCGGGCAAGGGACCCCTCTAAAAAATACCTCTCATTGACATACAACAATACAATCAGACGCAGGACGTAGGTATTATGCCTTCTTGGCGGCCGAACCTGGATAAAACCTCGTGTTTGTCTTGCGTCACCGTCTTGTTCGTAGCTTGCGCATCTGTCTGCCGACAATCTACTACCTTGGGCATACCCCTGGGTAGACTGCCGAACATATTTCGTCGACACATGCCCTTTTGCTATATTTTTTTTAAAAATAAGCATTGCTTTCTATACCTTCTTGATTGTTGAATTGATGTTAGTTGTCATGGCTTCCAATATTTGTAGCGAGTGGACGACGGACGGCCTATGTCGCTATAACGCCCAGATGGGCAAAATAAACTTCAGTCACCAGTGCAACAAGGTCCGGCCCAACAAATCACTGGGCTTCACTTGTTTTAATACAGGTCTTATGGAAGCGAGAGCTAAAGGACTTTTTTTTTGCAAAATAAGTGCCTGAATATAAAATTAGCAGAAATGGTGGATTCAAATTGCACCAATTCAATAGTTATAATTTATTCTTTTGCCATTTAACTGAATTTTTTCCCACGCGTGTATATTAGAAAAAAGAAAATTATAACTTCTCTATATGAGCGTGGATGGAGATAAAATTTATATAATCTATACCTAATAATAAAGAGGCAAAATTTCCGACCATATTTTTTTTTGTCCATCTATTTTTTTCGTCCACCTCTCCATAACCAACGGTAGCCGTCTAGACTTATATGACCCTAGATAGTTAGGACAATTAGATCTCTCCGAGCCTAAATAAACTGAATAGGAACCTGAATCCTAATTCAAATAGAAAATAAATTAAATAAGATCTTATTTTACTTTATATATAGCAAAGTGTCTCTTTCAATCCCACTTTTTACTTCTCACACGGACATTAATTAACTGACTACTTAAAACAAAATAAATGGAAAAGCATTCAGGAAAACTCTCGTCCGTAGGCGACGGAGATCCGGCCGAGCGGTGTCAAGGGGAGCTCAGTTCAGGTATGTATCTTTCTTTTCTGTTTTTAATTATTTTGTTTCCTTTTTTAGTCGTATCTTTTCTGTTTTTAGTTATTTTTCTCTTTTCAAGTACACAATGGGTCAACCAGAGCAATTCTATATCTATATCTAAAGTTCTTTTTTTTGGTATGGCCATCCTAGCTAACTCTTTGAATATAATCCGTCTCTGTTCGTGTCTATATATAGTCCTCCTGGTTAGTTTGGATAGCTAGGAATCATAATCTAAATAGACTTCTCCGATCCTATTTGATATGAATCCAATTTGAATAGATGACGCAAAATATATATTTCTTTACAACACAAGATTTAAAGAGAAAAGGATTCTTTTCGTTCATCTTTTTTACTTTCTATATAATAAAAAAGTGTGACATCATGTTTTCTATCTACTATATATTCTATATATACGTGCAATTATATGTGTTTGTTTTGGATTCCACGTGTTTGTTTTAGAAACTAGAGGCCCGTGGATGCCGTATCCTTACGTGACTGCCTCGTGTTGCTTTATATATTGAAAAAAAATACGGAAAAACCCCGCCGTTGTCTGCCTTTCTATATGCTCGGATTCGCTCCCCTATTTGGTCGTTGTCTCGCCGACTCGCCCCTCCTGTCATCGCGATGAGGTACATCATGCATCCAGGGTGACGTTGCTCCCCGGGCGAGTGGATCGGAGATGAGCCGCAGGAGACCCACAGGCAGTTCAGGCTTCAGGGCCTCAGGCACGCAGGTCATGTCACCTTACATCCACAAGCTCCGACACGGTTATGACCAGTCACGTTAAGGTGATTATACTATCAGATCTATGGCATCCCTTCCTGGTCGCTTTAATGTAGCGTTGGGGCCTTGAAGTTCTACAAGTTTGACTAATATAATCAGATAGATCTCTTATGAAATAATCAAATGTGCATTTTTTGGCAGGGTGTGGTGGAGTTTCACCAACGTAAATATATTATATCTTTTATGGGTTCTCAAATAAAGCAATGAAACCCAATGTTTAATTGTAGCAGCACATAGATAGTTTAAAAATTAAAGTTATAATATATTTACATTTAAATAATTTTGTGTTTTGCAATAGAAGAAAAAAACTATCATGATTGTATTTTAATTCAATTACATTCAATTTTTTTCCCGTTGTAACGCATACAGGCATATTTGATAGTAATTATAGAAATCGGCCATATATACAACCTTGTAGCTTGTAGTGTTTTCATGTAAAGCTATCTTGGTGCCAAAATAATCGATAAAATGTTTATAACTATAGATATAGATCTGAACTTTTTATCGACTATGTAGACACTATGATGGCTTCAAACAAAAAAAAACTTTGATGAGCCACAAAGTTGTAGGTCTCATACATCTCTATAATCTCATATAAATCTATCTTCTTTCTAGGTCATATGGAAATTTTATGATTTTTAAGATACATTGTGTAGAAAAGGTAAATAATGCCAATTCAAATTACAAAAAGGGAAATTTTGCTAAATAATATAGGAAAATCTCATTATTTCAATTAAAGATATGAGTATATATATTTCAAATATTTTGATTTGGGAAACCTTTTATGTTGCAAAACATAAAATGAGAAATAAAGAAAATTTAGAGCTCAATTATCTTCTATGAAGAGGAAAGAGAGAATAAAAGTATACAACTAGATTTACCTACCGTTATAAAATGGAATTATCAACAAAGGCAAAAGGAAGGTGTATGAAGAATTTAATAGAAAAAAGTTTTAAATTCATTGAAATTTATAAGCAGAGACATGAGGGTGGTTTGGTTGATAAAGTTGGAATCATTTTCATTTTTACTTTTTGAAAATCAAATGTCTTGAACTCAAAGTCTTGAATTCTTATCTAAGTTACACATTCCATCAAACTCAATACTTTTCATATATGATTAGTCAAATTTAGAAAATATTATCAAGGTAGACCTTAAATTACCAAGGCAACCGAATCATACTCATTTAACTTTTTCCCTTTTTCAAAGAAACATGTAAGAATTTAATATTATAGCCTTTTTTAAACTAAGAACTTCATAAATAAATAATATTCTGATTTATAACTTTTAAGCTCCTTAATCTATACATTAAAATTTATCTTAAAATTATAATATTACATTTATTTAAACATAAAAATTATAATTTCATGAACATATTTTTAACATTATGTTGTAAACTGGGACATGGACTTTATTTTACCAAACCAAGATTTAAAATTTAAGAACCTATCGATGCAAATTAGATTTTTGAAATTTGTCTTTTTTGTGATTTCTAAATCCTCTTTAAAATTGTGAGACTTAAAATCAAGATACTAAGGCTATATATTTAGTTGAGTAAAATGCATGGCCATTTCTTGAACTTGATTTGGGTGTCATGTCCTAAACTCTCAAAACGACACTTTTCAGCTCCCAAACTAATCCTAGGGTGTTGAATACCATTTTCAGGTTGTAGGATGCCATCCAAAATCCAAGTCCAAATGGGCATCAATTACTCCAAGCCTCAACATAGGATCCAATAGGACCCACTAAATCACAGGGCCCACAACATATTGGTCCTTGGCGCTTCATCATCGTGCTCCCCTTCTCTCTATTCCGGTCCTCAAATCAGTGTGGCACTGCATTTCTGTCAACATACTCACCCCTCTCTACATTGGGCGCGTTCGCTGGTCTGGTCCGGCTGACCAGCCGGCTGCTCCTCCTCACAACAACCAGTCAGTTTCAGCCAAGTTTCAGACCAGCGAACGAGACCATTCTTTATCCTGAGAGGGTGACGGAGATAGAGGGCTAAAGGATAATAAGTGGGACCTACAATTGTGTGGGCCTACTTGTCAAGACCTGAGTCACAAGGGATCCACCGTGGCAATTTCTGGTTAACTGGTAATTTTCCAGTTTTATAATTGAAAATTTAATTATGAAAGTGTGATATATCGACAATGTCTAGACTCAAACTTTTATATGTAGCAATCAATAAATACGTACATCTTTCTTCCCCATGTTAACCAGTGAAATTTCTCATATATGAAAAGGATCTAAGTTTTGCAAGTAAGTTGCTCCTAGTTCCCACCGCAGGTTATAATTGGTCAACTGAGGAGCACCCTGAGTGCGTCGTGCAATTTTTAAACAGCAAATTTCCTGGACAAGGAAAAAAGCGCGGGAGGCAAGGGCCACCTCCGGCCTCCACGCAGCCAGGCCTCAATTAGGCGCACGCACGACGTACCTATCTGCTAGTCGATCACGTTCCTCAAAAAACCTGGTCCCGTCCGTCCGTCCGCGGCAATGGTCGGCGGCATGTCACCGCCGCGGCGGACGCTGTCAATGGGGAGCGGCGGCACCATGGGGCGCCGCGCGGCGGCCGCCGCCGTGATGAGCGACAGCCCCAAGCCCGGGCTGTCCCGATCGATGTAACATGCATGCTTTTAATATGCACGCACGCGCGAGTGTCTGCGATCATATATCTGACCGACGCGAGGCATGCATGCAGGACCATGGGCGGCGAGCGCACGGTGAAGCGGCTCCGGCTGTCCCGGGCGCTGACGGTCCCCGAGAGCACCACCGTGCTGGAGGTGTGCCGCCGGATGACCGCGCGCAGGGCCGACGCCGCGCTGCTCACGGACTCCAATGCGCTGCTCTGCGGCATCCTCACCGACAAGGTTGGTCCCGGCCCTGTTCTTCCCCTTTCACAAAATTTCCAGTAATATAATCCTCCTAAACCGTCGAAGATCATGGATGCCATGTTGCTTCTATATTTGTTGGACATCGCTACGAGGGTGATCGCGCGCGAGCTCAAGATCGACGAGACGCCGGTGTGGAAGGTGATGACGAGGCACCCAATCTTCGTCCTCTCTGACACGCTCGCCGTCGAGGCGCTGCAGAAGATGGTCCAAGGCACGTGTCCAATTCCATTTCCATCACGGGGATAGATATGTAGGATAGGAGTATATATCGGACCGTGCACACGACATTACTAAGCGTGGATCGATGTCTTCTCTTGTGCATGCATGCTCGTCGATTGGATCGATTTCATGCATCAGGCAAGTTCAGGCACCTGCCGGTGGTGGATAACGGCGAGGTGGTGGCCATGCTGGACATCGCCAAGTGCCTCTACGACGCCATTGCCAGGATGGAGAGGGCGTCCGAGAAGGGGAAGGCGGCGATCGCCAACGTGGCGACTGGCGACGACAAGTACTCCATTGTCGAAGCTCTCAAGGAGCAAATGTTCAGGCCCTGCTTGTCTGCCATTGCAAACGAAGACTCAACGTTGGTTAATTAAATTAAACAACCCTTCCTCTGATCCATGGACATGCATTTCGAGCACAAATTAGTTTATTATTGGCATTCTCATGTCTATGAGCTTGTGGACAGAGTCGTCATGGTGTCACCTGGTGATTCGGTTCTTTCTGCGACCAAGAAGATGGTGGAAGTGCATGCGAGCTCAGCTGTAGTGGCTGTGGGGAGCAAGGCTCAAGGCATCCTGACGTCAGTTGATTTATACTTGAATTATTCATGTGCATTGCTCTCTTGCATGCATTGCTATGAATTTATACTCAAATTGGTACCCTTTTTGGTTCTTGTTCAATTCCTCATCATCTATAATGCTTGACTCTGCCAGTTCAAGGGATATCTTGATGCGTGTGATCGCCAAGAACCTGTCTGCGGACGCGACTCCAGTTGAGAAGGTATGTAAATACAACTGAGTTTCATGCACGGACTAGTTTGCGCAACTAGATAAGTGATAATTGAGCTAACTAAACAAAGGTGAACATTCTTTTATATGATGCAATGCAAACTGCAGGTTATGACTCCTGACCCTGAATGTGCCACGGTTGACATGCCTATACTGGACGCCCTACGAACCATGCAAGAGCGCAAGTTCCTGCATCTTCCAGTGATGGACAGAGGTACGTGCACCTTTTCATTCATTTCAGGGGAAAAAGAATGATCAGGAAAACATACTGAATCTGATTAACCAACCTCAGTCCTGATTTCATTTTTCCACTGCATCCATGCTGGCAGACGGCTCAATCATTTCAATTATTGACGTCATCGACATCGCACATGCCGCGATCTCCATCGTAAGCTCTATTCATCCAAATATTTGCTAACTGTGCATTTGGGTAGTGGAGATGCCTGCCGCCTACTCATTGCGCAAAATGGGACAGGTGGAGAGCAGTGGCGGCGACGACATGGGGAGCGACGATGCGGCAGCCTCCATGATCCAGAGGTTCTGGGACTCCGCCATGGCTTTGGGTCCCCTGGACGATGAGACGGACAGCCAGTCCCAGATGAGGTTAATTATTTGTAGGAGCTCTGAACTTTTCGGTTCTATAACTGATATATACACTGCTGGGCTGCTGGCCTTTTCTCATTTGATTGATACTACGGTAGTTGACTGACACGTACTGTTGGTTGAACTAACCGGCGGCATGCAGCGAGGCGTCGAGGTCGCAGATGATGTCTGATGTTCACCACGATTCTGTGGGCGGCAGCGAGGCGGGGTTCCCGTCCTCCTTCTCCTTCAAGCTCCAGGACAGGCGAGGACGGATGCACCGCTTCAGCTGTGGTAGGGTACTACCAACGTTGCAGCGTTTCCATCAGAGTAACCTTTAACCTGTGCAGTGTGAGAGATGTTGCACTGTAGCATTTCCGACACGGTGATTGAGATTTGTGCTGGCCTGCAGAGGTCCAGAGCTTGACGCCGCTGGTGACCTGCATCCTGCGGAGGCTCGGCGCCGACATCGACCCTGACCGACTTCCGCAAATCCTGGTATATATACTACATACATATGTAATGGGACAAGTTTGTACATGATATATGCCGGTCATGCATGGATAAGTTGCAAAGCCTGCAATTATTTCTGTGCGTGCAGTACGAAGACGAGGACCGGGACAAGGTGGTGCTGGCGTCGGACGACGACCTCGCGGCGGCGGTGGACCACGCCAGGCTCGCCGGATGGAAGGCATGCATGCTTTTGAATTGAGCCCTTGCGTCGGTGACGGGTGTGTTACTACCGACTACGACTGATCAATTCATGCAGGGTCTGAAGCTGTTCCTGGACTACTCCGGCACCACCGGCCGTAGGAAAGCGGTGGCCTCCTCCAGCGGCGCTGCCATGGCGGTGGGCATGTCCAGCCGGGACGCGTGGGCGGCGGCGTACAGCGGGGTCGCCGCTGGGGCTGCCCTTGTCACTGGGATCGGCGTCATGGCGTATCTGCGAAGATCCTCCTAGCTAGCTAGCTACTGCTACCAGTACCACCAAGGGGTTGTTCCTAGCTGTCTTGGGATCACTAGAGACAGTACATATATATGGATTACCCAAACCGGTGCGTGTATGTCTCGACGTGTGATGTCACACCTTAGTTTTAAAAGAAACGAACTAATAAGCTATATGCAGGTCATATGTGACTTCATATACATCCACAAGTGAAAATGCCGTACATAAACAGTAAAACTTCAATACAAAATCATTCATGGGAGGGGAGACGCGCGAAAATGATTCATGGGTCCAAAGTCCAAACGAGAGAAAAGATACAAGATACTCAGCAGAAGCAGAGTGGGTCTTCTATTAGACCGATCTCAATGAAGATTTCATGGATATTAAATAAGGTGACATATAAAAAAATAGAGTTTTTGCCTCGTATTAATCTAGAGAGAGAAATAAATTATTTCATAGGGATGAAACAAGTGAGCGCCGATTCTAAGTTGTTGGAAACGGGATGACACCCGCACTGAGGCACTTTGTTTCGTTTCATGGATCCCGTGCTCTGGCTATGAAGAGACGCGCCTCCATCCCATTCTTCCCGCCTCCTCGTGCCATTCTTTTGCTTAGGCTCCGTTTAGTTTCCCCCAAAAGCCAAAAATTTTTACGCAGTAAGTGTCACATCGAATCTTGCGGCACATGCATGGAGTACTAAATGTAGACGAAAAATAACTAATTACACAGTTGGGTGAGAAATCGTGAGACGAAACTTTCGAACATAATTAGTCCATAATTAAATACTAATTACCAAATACAAACAAAAGTGTTACGGTACCCAAATCCAAAAAATTTCGGATCTAAACGCGCCCTTACTCTCTCTTTCCCCTCCCGTGGAGCAGAGCCGAGCAAGCCGGTGGAGATCCAGCGCCGGCCATCTCCTCTTCGTGGTGCGCCCATGGAAACCGATCATCCGGCGCCGGTGGAGAGCACAGGGCGGCGCGGCTCCGGCAGAGGAGGAAAAGGACGCGGGGGCAGCCAGCGCACAGCGGCAAGACGGCGTCCAGGTTGTCGTCGCCGCCGCCTTCGACGTCCTTGTCACTGTTGTCGTCGCCGCCGCCGATTTCCTTCCCAACGCTGCCTCCAACGTCCTCACTTGCTCCGGCGACTTCCTCACCTGTGCTGCCTCCACTTTCTTCGCCTGCGCCGCCAACTTTGACTGTGCCGCCGCGCCCCAAAATTTTCCATCTCAACATGGAAACCAACAAGCCCCAAATCCATAGTAAGCAGTTGATTTCGATGTGTAGAGATGTAGAAATTGATGCATGCAAGTAGTTGATTTCAGTCATTCAGTGTAGACAAATGCTTGCAAGCAGCTTTTTTTTGTGGTCAAATGCTTGCAAGTAGTTGTTTCATACATGCTGGATGTCACTACAGACAGAGTTTCCGTGTCACATGCAGATGCAGCTCACGAACCTTTGCTCTCTGTGTAGAAATTGAGCAGCACATGCTTGACGTTTCTGTTTTTCAGACCTCGAAGGGAGATAGACTCCAGAAGGCATTGTTCAGCCAGCTGTTTTTTTCCTAATGAAATAGAAGTAGAGGTGATGTAGGTCTTGCAAATGACTTGGCCTGTGACATCTAGCAGTGTAGATAGTAACATAAGGTCTGATGGTTTTCAGCAATGGAGCACCTGATGGGAAGCATTATGACGACCTGAAAGACAGACATAACAAAAATGTGAAACTGAAATGCACAGTAACATAAAGGTCTATGGTCATTTTGATATGCACAGGTTCTAGATTGTGTGTGAATTTCAGGTCTTACCAGCAGGTCCTAAATTGTGTGTGAATTTCAGGTCCTATCCGTGAATTTCTGGGCATGATCTTGTATCTGGCCATGATGGAGGTACTAAGCTTTTTTATCTGTATCTAATCTGTGATATCTGTGATCTGAACCTGCACTTTACCTGCATTGTGCACTTTATATATGTATTAGGAGACACCCATAGTACTTTATCCGAGTGAAACTGAATGTCTTGTGAAACTCTCTTGAGATGGATTCAGCGGCAGTAGCTTTTGTTCAGCTATTCTTGAGAAACTGAATGTCTTGCTAGTTGCTATTCTTGCCCGTGTGCTGCTGCTTTTGTTGAGATGGATTCGGTTCAAACATAGCTTGTAGATTTTTTCCCCATTTCTGTGTCAGGCTCGTGACCCCCTTCTCGCCGGCCCCCTCCCGTGGATCTGTCTTGCCCCTTGCCAACGACTCATGGTGGTGGGGCGTGGGCTGGTGGCAACGCTGGTAGAGAAGGAAGAAGACAAACACGGGTGCATGGCAACGCATTACTCCTAGCGGCACTGATGCATGCTACTCCTATGGAAAGCCATGCGCTGCTGCAGCCGCGTGCTTTTCCGGAACGGACCTGTCCTGTAGCGCGTGTCGCGGCCAGCCCGGTTCAAAGGCTGCACGGTAGCTCCGGGCACGCGACGCGGGCACAGCGCAGACGACGCTGCACTCTACGTATTGTCCTGTCCGAGAGGGAAAAGACACTGCTAAATGTGCCCACCCGCTGGCCGTAGCGCACCCGCTAGCCGCTGCGTAGACATACAGGTGTGTTTGGTTGCGTGGCTTTAGGTAGCCTGGCTATACTAGTGTTTGGCTGTTACGTGCTAACTAAGGGTTGTTTGATTCTGTGACTAAAATTTAGAATGTGTCACGTAAGGATGTCGTATGGGGTGTTTGGATACTAATAAAAAAATAAATTACAGAATCCGTCGGTACTCCACGAGACGAATTTATTAAGCCTAATTAACCCGTCATTAGCATATGTTTACTGTAGCACCACATTGTCAAATCATAAACTAATTAGATTTAAAAGATTCGTCTCGCAAATTAGTCGTAAGTTGTGCAATTAGTTTCGTAATTAGTCTATATTTAATACTGCATGCATGTGTCCAAACATCCGATGAGACGATTAAAGTTTAGGAGGAGAAACAAACACCCCCTAAGTTTGGCTAAGTTAGTTTTTGTTTGGTTGTCTGGATTAGTTGGTACTGTTACCTCTTCTCTACAATGGTGACCTTACCTCTTCGCTTTGTTCATCTCGACGGCGACCGATGTATAAGGGAAGGAAGAAGGACTGTGGCGGTGGAAGAGCTCCGGCACGGTGGGCGCCGCCGCGGCCGGGTCGAGCAGGAGACGGAGAAGCGCGAGCACGAGCAGGCGTGCCTGCGAGTACCCGTCCACCATCACCCATGAGCCGTTGAGGCGTTGAGCAGCAGCGACGCGTCGTCGCGCGATAGCCGCGCGAACCCGCAGGCGGACGCCAGCGAGGGCGGCCACGACCATGCCCGCGCTTTTTCGCCTCTCGAGCCGTCGTCACCGGCGCCGGTGGCGTCAGACCCCGACGACAAGCGAGATGATGAGCGCGCCGAAGAAGAAGAGCACCTTATTGCGGCTGAGGTGCTAGCCGGCTAGCCCAATGGGGACGAAGAGCATGACGCACGCCGCGACCACGCCCGCCTGCACCACATCCGAAACCATCGGCCGACCGAGCAGCCGCCTGCACTTGACCCGCTCGAGCGGTGAAGGCGCCACTAGATCTGGACCTACCACCGGGAGGAGGAGGTGCACTTGCCACTACCGAGAAAGAGGAGGAGAGGGGATCTCCGCGCGGGGAGGAGGAGCCGGTGGTGGCCGGGAGGAGCCGGGGGCGGGGCAGGGTCTGCTCCGGACCGGGAGGAGGACGAGGTGGAGCACGCGGTGAGGGCGCGGGGCGGTGACGAGAATGACCGACGGGCCTAGCTCGGGCCTGGCTCGAGAAAAACGACCGATTTGGTCGTTCGATGCTAGCCAGGTTTCAGGGGTACGGATGGCCAGCCCTAACCATGCCCTAGCCCATTTCCAGACAACCAAACAGGTCTAAATTGACTCCAGGGAGCCAGGCTAGGGGTTGACCACCCAACCAAACACACCCATACGAGTACGTGTTTTGCTGCAAGACGCCGCCCGGCTATGCCCTGCCCGCGCACTATCATCGATTCATTCATTCATAAATAACCAAAGTCAGGATTAAATGTGTCGCGGTGCCTGCTTTTCTCTTATAAATACTTTTCTTGTAACGGTTGAAAAGAATGAAATTATTTGTGCCATTTCCCTCTATATTCAAGTTATGTTTATTACTCACTCAGGTCAAAATTATAAGATTTTGCCTTTTCTTTTTGGAGAATATGATTTTGCCTTTTCTAGATATATTATTTTTATTATGTATTTAGATATAGTGTATATCTTACTGTTGTTGCTATAGTTTTGGTCATTAGTGGAATGTGACGATGTGTAATTATATATTTGATATGTTAATTTAATATATTGACATGGGCATTAATATGATGTTAAATGAGCTGCATCGGTGTTTTATCTATATTGGGCTGCATGTAATTTTCTCTATTTAATCAATTGGGCTGTAATAAATAATGGTCCGAGTGAGCCCAACATAAATATCGAAAAAATGCTAACGTGTTTTGGCCAGCCACATCAGCGCCCACCTGACCAAGCTGATATGGAAGTGCTGACGTGGAACATGTCCATGACGTTCCATTTCGTCACTACACGCTGTAGTCGTTCTTTATAAACCTGTCGAACAGCTATTCAATGACCATTACATGAACATGTCCATGACATTCCATTTCGTCATTACATGCTATAGTCGATCCTTATAAACCTGTTGAACAGCTTCAATGACGATTACAGACGTCACCGTTCTAGCGAGTCTGTGACGGTTTTTTCGCTCCAAAAGGATTATGACGAGGATTTTATGACCATTTCTGGGACCATCATAGATAGTTAACTATGACGATTTTTAGGGTGGCTATGACCAACTGATAACATCATATATCAACATACTCCTTGTAGTGTATCCTTCAGCGGTTGAAAAGTGGAACGGTTTTTGAAGCAAAGTCATCTTCCCATTTTTATATCTTAGCAACTTGGAGTTTTGAAAGGTTTTCACAAATTAAAGCATAATTCGCTTATAG